TCCCTCCCTCCAGGCAAGGTCCCTTGCTTCACAACCTCCTTGAGTGTTTTCGCCTGGATGGAATGTGGGGAATGCTCTGGCGAAACAAAGCCCTGGAGTCCGCAGGTTTGCAGACTCTGCTCACCAGCTGGTAAGCGGAAAGTGCAACCCTGCTCAGCTTGGCTGCCCACACCTGTTCCCAAGTTCAGAACAGACACACACACCCAAAGCTCAAGGCAAGGCTTTTTGAAAGCCCTTTTGCAACCAACACCGTGTTGCTGCTTATACTGGTTTTCAGAAGGTCAATGAGCAAGGTGGGGCTGTTTGCAAAAGTGCTTTCAAACAGCCCCATGCTGCACTTTGAAGTCCCAGCAGTTGGGACTTCAAAGCACAGCGTCAACTGATGTCACTATGGCAACAAGTGATTGGCAGCTTGCAGAAAAGGCCCCCCACCCCTGATATAGACAATACTGAGATAGAGGGACCAATGGTTTGGTTTCGTAGAAGGCAGCTTCCTATGTATATCTTGCAAAAGATATATACAAAGCTCCACTGATTTTGGATTAGCCTTGCTTGCCTTCTGAAATCTGTGCTTGCCACCCACCCTGCTCCTTCCCCAACTTGGGGCAGGGGGTGTCCTTTCCAATGTTGCTCTACAAAGACATCTTGCTGCTTTTTGAGTGTATCAAAGGTTCAGCTTGATAACAGGGAGACCATTTGTCTTTCTCCTGAACCTGGAGAAGTTTGATGGGCTTCCGCTGACCTCAAAGTGAGCTTCTCTTGCCAGATTAAAAGATGCACTCGCCAACAGCATGCCTTCTCCTGAATCTAGAAAAGTTTGGTGGACTCTCCTTGACCTCCCATGGAGCTTGCCTTGTCAGATGCACCCCTACCGGAAGAGGCATAGCACCCATTCATTCTTGTACATGTATAGACCAGGAATTAGGAGGGGTGGGTTTTTAAAAAGGGAAATGCAACAATGAGGAGGCTGTGAAGCTGATTGCCGAAGCAGTAAAACCCATTAAGGACCAGAGGGGTGAAGAGTGCTAGCTCCTCTAATACTAATAGAAAGCTTCTTGAAAGGAGACCTAAATGCAGAAGGGAAACTATTCAGAGAGAGACAGAGAGAAAAAAGACTTGCAGAGTCTCCTGCCAGGAAAAAGCCAAGGAGGGGAGGTGGAAAGAACTGTGTTTTGGGGGAGGGGGGGTGCCAAGGAAGTTAACCATTAACACAGTGCTGCCCAGCACCCAACCTCCCCGCTGGCTCATGTGATTTCACAGCGTTGTTGTCCGGGAAGAGCAATGGGACACCACAAATTCAAAGCAGCCAGCAAAAAAAAAGCCACAGCGATGAACAAAAAGGGTCCATCTCATTATACCTTATGAATGGGCATGGACATCTCCTTTTTTTATATGCTTCATAGGGTCCATCAACATGTGCTGGATGGCGCCCATTAGGTTCCATCGCTGGCCAGATGCATGATGTCACACAGTATAACCAGAGCAATTGGAAACAGACCAGGCAAAATCTCATCGTTTCACCCAGTAACTCACTGGGAGTTTCGCCAATAACTTGTGATCTCACTCTTCGGAGAGAAAGCGGAGGGAGAGTGTGGGGTGGGCGGGTGGGAGGCATGGGCAGGGATGCTAGATAGCGTGCTTTAGAAACCCCCCAACTTTGCATTTTTTTGACCTCTCCGTTTTCGCCGAGGCAAATGCCGTGGGAAGTCTCTAAGGCGATGGCATCCAAAACTGGCTGGGGAAAATGAGCAAGCTGATTCTTCAAGGGGGAGGAGGGTCTCTCCCTCTCCCCCTCTCCCTCTCTTCAAAATAAATAAATAAATAAAACATGCCTGGGGTTCTTTGTTTCAGTATCTTGGATACCAGAGAACTCCCACGCTTGTCAAAAGTGAAGGCCAGCAACAATAATTACTGGGGGGTGGGGAAGGAATTAAAGAAGAGCCCCAATGATTCAAAAGTGCATATTAAAGGACAACGATGATATTTAAACAGCAAGATGAACCAAGATAAACATGCACTTAAAAATAAATAAATAAACAACTCACTACAGTGAGCACTAGTTCTTGATTTTAATGCATGAAACGCAAACGTGTGTACTTTTCTGCAGAAATATAGTGATTACATTGAACAAACACCCAATTTTTATATCAGTATTTAAAGTTTTCAAAAAGAACAAACCGTCTGAGCTCACTGGTGACGATGAACAACGGAAGACACCAGCCCATCAGCATAAATTCAGTCCCAATTAAAACTTCCTCTGCACTTCTATTCCCCGAAAGCACCTTATTTCAGCTGAAACCTTTCCTAACGTGAGCTTACAACCATATTGTTTAACGTCCCTTTTTTCCCAAGCAAGACCTAAAGAGTCTGTTTTTAAAACGAAGCGCATTTGAGGAGCAGTGCCAACTTCACAATGAAACAAACGGAGCGCGTTGCCCTTTTAAGGCGAGAAAGACCCTGTCTCCTATTAGAAATTGACATGTAGGGAAACTTCCAGCTACAAGCTCAATCCGCAGACAATCATAAAACAGCCAAACCTTTGTTTATCGCTGTCCAGTGCTGGGCAAGTATGTGGAATGCCTGAAAGGGTGGGGTGGGAGCCTTATTTCAACAGAGAGCTGCCCTCCATGCACAGTTCAGACAAGAATTTGTCCCCCTGCCCTCAAAGAGAGAGAGAGAGAGAGACGAAATCCCCCACCAACTGTACTTTGCAATCTGTAACGCTGAGAATGCTTTAAGCTGTTTGTTTGAGGCTGGCAGACATCCCAGCTCACTGGCCAAGCACATGCTGTAGCAGGGAAAAAGAATTAGCACACTCAATAGAGCCTTATATGCTACTCAATATAAATTATGACCTTTGGCAGTTTTGCTCATCATGACTATTCCAGAGACTATGTGTGGAACTTTAGCAGTTCCCCTTGGATAGCTGGGTGGGGGTGAAGCCTGGCTGTTCCAATTCCAGTTTCAGATCAAGCGGAATAGCCAAGACCTCTACTATTCCCCAACAAACAGGGAAACAGGGGGATTCCATCCAAAAAATAAATAAATTACATTTTAAAACTTGGACGGAAAAACATCTGTAAGTCACAACAGCGAACAGCATGAGCACATTATTAGCAAAACGAGGTGGATGCAAAGGCAGTCGTTTCTGGAGCTGTTGAAAACCCAGTTTTCAAGGATAAGGATTTTTGAAAGAATTTGGCAGCCAGGTGTCTTTTGTCTGTGTGACCTCCCTTTCCTTTCAGAGCTGAAAGCAATGGAAAGTTTTCTCTATCGTGCACACACAAAATGAACCAGGTTTGGGGTTTCCATGTAGCAACCCGTAATTTGGAACAGGACAGAAGTGGGATGAAAAGGCAAAGAAAAATAGGAAGCCAAATTGTCTCCGAAAGCCACTAGTTCTGTAGGGCCACTCAACAACCAGCTTAAGCGCATGTCAACAGCGGTGGTGATGTGGACCTCACCTGGCATGCAACAATCTTTCTGGTTTGTTGTTATCCTGAATATTTTTAATGTCTCTTCATGCTGTGCAGTTTTCGCCTCTGAGAAAGGCAGATGGAAGGAAAAATGCAAGAGGCTATAGCACTGACTTTCGGTGGTATGTACTGAAATGATTTACCAGGGATTTGCTAGCCTTTTTACAACATTTTAACCACTGTGCACAGAATCTGCAAGGGTGGATTTATTTATTGCTTGCTTGTCTGTCTGCCTGCCTAGATGCTTGCCATATACACAAGACCTGTGGCATAATTAATCCAGAACAGCATGAACCTTAGTGATAAATTGGACCATCACTAACCGGAATTAGAATCTCCTCCAGCCCTACAAAAGGGAGGTCTGCTTTTATTTCACTGCTCTTCAGTGACCACGATGGGAGGGAATGTTAAAAGTTGCCTTAAAAGCGTGTTAAGGGGGAACTAATCCGCTTGAAGCCACTGTAATGATACGGCTTCCTATGTCAGAATCCAGTTTCCTAATCCACGGAAACAAATTTGGAGCAACTTCGAGAAAGAGGTGGCTGTTATTCCGGATTAATTGGAGGTGGCCTTTTGAAGGGGGTCAGAGTTGCACCATCACACCCATGGATGCAAGGCACACAGGTCACTAAAACTGTATGGACTTTGAACTGTTAACACTTTGCAAGGTGCTGCACACCAGGCTGATAACTTGACATGCTTTGGATGCACAAGGCAAACTTAGAGAGAAGAGTGAGGGCAGCTGAGAAGACAGGAATTATCCTATTATTGTTGTTCTTAATATTATTGCTTTCATTTAGGGAAAATAAGAAGGCTGCACTCAACCCTAAGCCCAAGAAGTGGGGCAGGTTAGAAATTCAACAAACTTACTCAAAAGGCATGCCGAAAGTGAAGCAACTCATTGGCAGAGCTGATGCATTGCGTGCAGAAAATCGTCGGTTCGATCCCCAGCATCTCCTGGTACAGCTAGGGGAGGACCCCCACCCCAAGAATGGATCTACTAGGAAACTAATAAACCTTAAATTTCAGGAGCCCTGATCCCAGAGGGGCCCCAGAAGCGACTTTAATCCACATTGATTAATATACATTTTTTATTATTCACACCAGTGACTCTGACATGCGAGACAACCCACTACAGCCATGTTAATCAAAACCTGAGATCTAGCGGTTTTTTAAAAAGTGGAGATCTGTCATGGGACAACCCCACCGAAGATGCTAACAGTGGTGACCCGCACCTGGTTGGGAAAGGGACCACTTTAACAGTTCCAGCTTCAAACTCCAGAAATGTGGGTCTGCCACTGCCCAGCCCCCTTCCTGGCTGCTGCCAGCCGGTGTAGACAGCACTGAGCTATGTGGTCCATCGAAGAAGCCCGCTTCGCCTGTTTCCATGCGACGCTCCCCAAAAGGGAGACGAAACTCCGCCAGCGACACCCTTGATTGTACAATGGCCTGGGTACCACCCCGGAGGCAGGAGTTCTCGCCGGGAGCATCCTCTTCCCCAGCGCGCCAGCCGCTTCCACTTACCAGCTGTAAAGTGCAGAGGAAAATTAGGGTGCAGCGCCCCGTACAGCACGCCATCCTTCCCGAGCCTTGGGGGACCCCCGCCGGGGCCTCACCACGACCTCCCGGCTACCATCTCCAAGTTCAGCGGCGCTGCGCTCCGAGAGGAAGAGACTCCAAAGCCCGCAAAGCTTCTGAGTCCTTCTTCCAGACTTTCTTCTTCTTCTTTTCTTCCCCTCCTCCTTTTCCCCCCCCTCCACCCTGGGAAGCAGCCGGGCTTGAGCTGAGCTAACAGCTGCTCTGAGCAGCCAGGGAGGTGCTCCTGGCGCTTTGTGAAAGAGCCCCCGCCAGGGAACCTCCACCTTGGATGGATGGATGAGTGGGTGGGAGATTGGGAGCGCGGGTGGGGGGGGGAGTGGGTTCTTAAAAGGGCCATGCCACGCGGAGGTGGCCACCTTCCCCGCGATTGGTTGCGAAGCTGCCTCGCAGAGACGAGAGTGGCCCCCATTGTCTGCTGGTTTGCATTTTAATTGCAATTAAATTGCTACTACTACTACTGTTATTATAATAATATGTTTATACCCCGCCTTTTCCCCCTGACAGGGACTCTAGGCGGCTTACAGGTAAAAATAATAACAGCTAAAAACATAGGGGGCGGGGAGGGAAATAACAGTTAAGAAACAAGTAAACAGAATTAGAACTATATATGTGTAGGGAAATATATGTGTATATGCACACACACAGAGAGAGTGCTTTTTTCTGGGGTGAGGCAGGGGTACACATACCCCTAAACTTTTTGTGAATCTAAGTTTGGCCTCATTGAGAGGCAGTATTTAAATACGAGTAGGAAAATGAGAGTACCCCTTTGTTTAGTCGTTTAGTCGTGTCCGACTCTTCGTGACCCCATGGACCAGAGCACGCCAGGCACTCCTGTCTTCCACCGCCTCCCGCAGTTTGGTCAGGCTCATGTTTGTAGCTTCGAGAACACTATCCAACCATCTCATCCTCTGTCGTCCCCTTCTCCTTGTGCCCTCCATCTTTCCCAACATCAGGGTCTTTTCCAGGGAGTCTTCTCTTCTCATGAGGTGGCCAAAGAATTGGAGCCTCAACTTCACGATCTGTCCTTCCAGTGAGCACTCAGGTCTGATTTCCTTAAGAATGGATGCGTTTGATCTTCTTGCAGTCCATGGGACTCTCAAGAGTCTCCTCCAGCACCATAATTCAAAAGCATCAATTCTTCGGCGATCAGCCTTCTTTATGGTCCAGCTCTCACTTCCATACATCACTACTGGGAAAACCATGGCTTTAACTATACGGAACTTTGTTGGTAAGGTGATGTCTCTACTTTTTAAGATGTTGTCTAGATTTGCCATCGCCTTTCTCCCAAGGAGCAGGCGTCTTTTAATTTCGTGACTGCTGTCACCATCTGCAGTGATCATGGAGCCCAAGAACATAAAATCTCTCACTGCCTCCATTTCTTCCCCTTCTATTTGCCAGGAGGTGATGGGACCAGTGGCCATGATCTTGGTTTTTTTGATGTTGAGCTTCAGACCATATTTTGTGCTCTCCTCTTTCACCCTCATTAAAAGGTTCTTTAATTCCTCCTCACTTTCTGCCATCAAGGTTGTGTCATCTGCATATCTGAGGTTGTTGATATTTCTTCCGGCAATCTTAATTCCAGCTTGGGATTCATCCAGCCCAGCCTTTCGCATGATGTATTCTGCATATAAATTAAATAAGCAGGGGGACAATATATAGCCTTGTCGTACTCCTTTCCCAATTTTGAACCAATCAGTTGTTCCATATCCAGTTCTAACTGTAGCTTCTTGTCCCACATAGAGATTTCTCAGGAGACAGATGAGGTGATCAGGCACTCCCATTTCTTTAAGAACTTGCCAAAGTTTGCTGTGGTCGACACAGTCAAAGGCTTGATCTCCTGGCGTGCTCTGGTCCATGGGGTCACAAAGAGTCGGACACGACTAAACAACAACAATTGTCACTTATACAACTTGTATACAGTGAGATTACACGAGCACCCCCCACTCAGCTCTCTTAGTCTTAATTCCCCTCCTTTAGAGACGCACACCCACCAAACGTGAAGGTCAGCTGCCCTGTTGTTATCTTTTCATTCAGCAACCTAACAGCCCACGGATAGAAGCTGTTCTTTACCCTGTTGGTGCGACTAATCATGCTTCTATATCTTCTGCCTGAGGGCAGGAGATCAAGAAAGTGCTGGCCAGGGTGTGAATCATCCCTGAGAATTTTCTTCACTCTCCTGAGGCAACGTTCTTCTGCAATGTCATCCAGCAGATTCACAGGACAGCCCATAATATCTTGTGCTGCATTCACCACCCTCTGTAGGCACTTCCTATCAGTTGATGTCAAACCAGTGTACCACACCGTGATGCAGTATGAAAGGACACTTTCTATTGTGGACTGGTAGAAGGAGATCATCAAATGTTGATTGGCATCGTTCTTTCACAATATTCTGAGGAGATGGAGTCTCTTGCATTGCAGGGGGTTGGACTAGATGACCCTCATGGTCCCTTCCAACTCTACAATTATGTGGTTCTATGATTCTATGAATCCCTGGTTTGAAATGCCAGGGCTTTCCATTGCCTGATCCGATGAAACCTACAGTAGTACTTGGATCACACCGTAGCTCATGGGATAGAAATGTCAAATTTACTTACATTCATGAATCATGACTGATGAAGCAGTCTCCCCTTTTGTAAAATTGATGGTGTGGCAGAGAATCTGAGCACAGCATCTCTGTTGTAAACCCCTTTGCATTTCCTGAATAAATATCTTTTTAGAGAGAGAGAGATAAGCAATAAAGAGCAAGAAGGGAGGTGATACCTTTTTATTTGATTATTAAAACATCAAACTAAATTGAACACACTTGCTGGAATCATACACCCAGTGGGCTACGAGAAATGAATAGATAGGGAAGAGATAGACACAGAGAAAGGAGATACCTGTATATCAAATGGCAGGAGTATAAAAGAGCAGAAAAATAAAATAATTCAGATGCCTTTGCCCATCAAAATGACAAACGGAACATGGAACACACAGAGGAGAAATGTAAAGCAGAAATGAAAACATGAGGCAAGAGTTGTTCCCCACTCTATACAACAATTTGAAATGCATTATTAAAAACAGTTAAATTACAGCCACAGGAACAGGGCTGAGGAGCCCATTCACACGTGTCTTGCTATTTGATTTCCACACCTCCTTTCAGCAAAGGCTCCCCAAAAGGCTAACACAACAAGATTAATTCAAGCTGGCTGGATATTGAAAATCAGGAAACAGTAATAAAAGAGAAGAGAAAGTGGCAGGGAGAATAAAAAATCCATCCCCCATTTGAAGCCCATAAGAATGCAGGTCTCCTCACCTGGCACAGGAGTGACATTTATGGCTTGATTACAATGGCAATGGCAAGTGGGGACTTGCGCATGAGACAGACGCAGTCATGGATAAAACCCCACAAACCCAATCGCTGCTCAGCTGCTTGACATCTAGCGGGAAGACCAACACACCCACGCAGAGCTTTTCTCTTTTTTTCATTCCCCGCTTTCCCAGTTCTGTTTGACTGGTTCTTCTAGGATAAGTGTAGTTTGGGTAATCGTTACAAGAACCCTGCAAGGCAGAATCACGATCATCCTCACTCTCACATTGCAGATGGAGCTATGGTTCCTTCTGGGTGAGCATTGATCCTGACTTGTTTGCACAAAGTTTGCAGGGAGGTCATTGAAACAACAAAAGCCATTTAAAGAGGATTTGTTCTGATTTGCTTGCAGGGATAGTATACAATGGACTCAATAGGGAGCGGGTGGTGCTGTGGTCTAAACCACTGAGCCTCTTGGGCTTGCCGATAAGAAGGTCGGCGGTTCGAATCCCCATGATGGAGTGAGCTCCCGTTGCTCTGTCCCAGCTCCTGCCAACCTAGCAGTTCGAAAGCATGCCAGTGCAAGTAGATAAATAGGTACCGTGTGGCGGGAAGATAAATGGTGTTTCCGTGCACTCTGGTTTCTGTCACGGTGTTCTGTTGAGCCAAAAGCGGTTTAGTCCTGCTGGCCACGTGACCCAGAAAGCTGTCTGTGGACAAATGCTGGTTCCCTTGGCCTGAAAGCAAGATGTGTGCTGCAACCCCATAGTCGCCTTTGACTAGACTTAACCATCCAGGCGTCCTTTACCTTATCTTTTACCTTTACAATGGACGTTGTACAATAAAACATTTTAAATGTGTATCAAAGTGCAATATACAGTGGTACCTTGGGTTACATACGCTTCAGGTTACAGACTCCGCTAACCCAGAAATATTACCTTGGGTTAAGAACTTTGCTTCAGGATGAGAACAGAAATCGTGCAGCCAGCGGCGCAGCGGCAGCAGGAGGCCCCATTAGCTAAAGTGGTGCTTCAGGTTAAGAACAGTTTCAGGTTAAGAACAGACCTTCAGAACGAATTACGGTAAGTTCTTAACCTGAGGTACCACTGTACACATGTGACACTAGATGGCGATAGTGAGCTATGCCAAATGCAATGCATTTTTCAATATATTTTTTTTAAAAAAACATTACCGCAGTGGTTTTTTATATGTGTGTAGATTCCACCAATATTGTGTCAAGCGATTGCTATCCTGCTTTGAGGTTTCATTACAATCGTATATGATCATACAATCATAGAAATATAGAGGTGGATGGGACCCCCCGAAGGGTCATTAAGTCCAACACCCTGCAAGAAAGGAATGTTAAAGTCAGCTGTCACAGCCAGTGTTGGAAGATTTTGTCTCACACAGTAGGAGAAGCCAAGAGCATTACTGCAGACACACTGCAGAGTGTGACCAGCTAGTAATTCAATACAGACAACAAGTTTCACATAGCACTAACACAAATTGAGTGTTTGATAACTTGGCAGTTTCCCAAACATTTTATAGCAGCCCCCAGAGAGAAGTGTTGGGCCTGTTTGTGCAAATAACTTCTTCTTTTTATAAGGTATCAGTCTTGGAAGATGGGAAGGGCTGGTTTCTAACAAAATGATGTTTGTTGACTCGCATCCTTCCAACCCTGTGAGAGTCGAGAACAGCGAGTGGGACGCGCACAGAAGAAATCTCTCTATGGGATGTGGGATTTTGTGAATCGGAACAGATGAAGGCGGCTAAGGAAAATAATAAGGGAAAGGGCACGGTTTTTGACATTTCCTTGTAATGGAATCCTCAGACTTTTCCAAGCGAATACTCCTGAAAAATGAAGCCACAGGGGATGGCAGGCATGGGCTGTCGAGGGAAATTAAGGAGAAGAACATGGCGATTCCTGCAATACCAAAGGGCTTCCC